GACTTAGTGTTTTAATGATAGCAGAAACCTCCTAATGAAGAAATTTGCCAGGAAGGTTCAATTGTTCACTGTCCTGAAAGTCATCCTGGAACTCACTGTGGCATTAGATTCCAGCTGTAGGCATGAACAGTGTCCCTGCCCAACTTAATGTGTATGTTTCCCCCCATATGCTGGACTCACATGTCAGCTCTAAACACTGGGGCATTGTCACTTGGAGAGAAGTCTAATTTTTTTTTAAATAAGCAATAATTAATTTAAGAAAGTTACTTCTGCTAAGGATAGAAACTAGACTTTGTCTTCCTGTCTGTATCATGGTCTAGCTCACAGGAGATGTTCAATGAAATTTGACAGATTGCTTAACATAGGTTATAAGTAGGTTCAGGTCGTTTGCCTTGAGCTCATGATGGGGAAGTTTAGGAAAAACACAAGCTAGCATGTCTCTCTACTCATTAGAGAAAGAAAGAAAGGGCTCTTAATTTTGGTAAATGCATTTGGTTTGTACATTTCCCTTCAGGAAATGACAAAGTTAGACAGGGCCTCGTTTATATGAAAATCTAGTCATATAGAGAGAGGACAGAAGGATGTGGCACTTTCTCCATTTATTCATTAATGTTGTACCATTAATCACATCAAAGTATGGTACAAATTGCCTTATAATGTAGCATTCCCAGTAAGGATCTAAGGGAATGCATGAATGAGTAACATGTTACTGCACTCAAAATTTCCCTCCGCCCCTCCTCCATACCACAGATACAATTTATTGAACACCTTTTATATGCTAGGCAATATGCTAAAAATACTTCATATGTATTATCTGATTTAATCCATACAGCAGCCTTGAGGTAGACACTGGGACCCCCATTTTAAACAACCTGAGATTCAGAGAGCTTAGGTGACTTCTCCTAGTCAAATCAGTACATGAAAGAACTGGGGTTTATTCCCAGGACAGCCTGACTCCAGAGTTCTTGTTCTTCAGCCTTAAGTCCTTTGTGCATGTTTTCATGTAGGTGTACTGTCGCTCTTTTCTCAAGGAAAGAGGCCCTACTGTTTATGTCTAAAACCTTTGACCTTTATGGTCCCTCCTA